GGTCGCCCTCGCCTGCTGTACGGTCTGGGTCAGCCGGGACGGGTCTAAAACAGGGATACATGGGTTAACGGCCGGGTTACTACGCACCCACACACTAACCTACACGCTAACCCAAACACTAACCCACACACACACACACACACACACACACACACACACACACACACACACACACTAACCCACACACTAACCCCGCTACCGCCCGGGCCAGGGTCGCCCGCGCCTGGTGTACGGTCTGGGTCAGACGGCCTGGGTCTAAACAGGGATACATGGGTTACCACACACCCACACAACTCACACACCCACACACTAACTCCGCCACTGCCCGGGCCAGGGTCGCCCTCGCCTGCTGTACGGTCTGGGTCAGCCGGGACGGGTCTAAAACAGGGATACATGGGTTAACGGGTTACTACGCACCCACACACTAACCTACACGCTAACCCAAACACTAACCCACACACACACACACACGCGCGCGCAAACACGCACACACTAATCCTCTGCCACTTGTTCGTTAAAAGGGGTCAATGACCTGGTCCTGGAAGTCGCTTCAGACAAAGGTTGGAAGACAAGCAAACTGAAACAGACCTTGAGGAGTATTAAACATGTCTAATGGCCTGAAACACGGGACTGTGTACATGTGCATGTACGTACACACAAAGATCCTTACAGCCTGCCTACCTGCTCACAACTACTACCAACTTCCAAGTCTCCGGAAAGTTGGAAGAATGGCAGTCTTAACTTTTATCCTTTATGTGAGCGCAAAGGTTTTGCAGTGTTCGATTTTGTTCTAAAATGTCAGCCCTCCTGCTTAGAGTTAAGAGTACTAGTCGGTGTTAACTTTAAAGGCTTCTTTGATACACGTTAAGCAAATAAACTTGACTTTAAAGCTGGGACAACATCCCTGTACTCTAAGTGTTACAAAGTACAGACTGCGTTCCACGGAAACTTTATCTTTAGCCAGTTCACAACGGTGTGAGAGTTTTTTTTACATGTTCTCACCAAGGCTCTTGTTGTTTGCCACTGACGACAAGTGAATGAGAGGACTTCGAGTCCACAAATACACGACAGCGTCTGAGCTCTGATCGGTAGGTAGATTCGAACCCATAACCTTCTAATTCTTTAAGCTGTACGACTAGACGTTGTCTCATCGTTATAAGTTCCGTATCTAAAGACGTCCTTACATTTTTGTTCACCTGTGTAAGGGTGACGGGGTAGCCCTTTCACGGTAAGGTACAAAGTACACTAGTTCCGACAGCCCCGGCAAGTCACTACCACCAGTCCCGCTGATGTATCACACTTTAAATGGTCCGTGCGGACAAAAGCCGCCTGACTCGCTTTGTGGCTCGCCTTTCAGCTGACACGGATTCGAACCCGTGTCGCTGGGTCACACGGAAACCTTTCAGTTAAGTTTCACGCCGCCGCTAATGAGTTGACATAAGATGGCGCGACCTCGGGGTTCTCTGAGCTAGCCTCTCCCAGGTTTCAGGAGGCGGCTGGAGAGAGTAGAAATTGGTCAAATAGAGAGAGAGATAACATACCAGGGAGTTGGTCTTCTAGTTGCCGCACCTGTACTCTCTAGCGGACCAACTCCCCCAGCAGGTTATCTCTCTCTGTTTGGCCAATTTCTACTCTTTCCAGCCGCCTCCCGAAGCCTGGTAGAGGCTAGGTCTGGACTCTACTACAAGTACACTCCTTACTTAAACCTACTCCAACCTTCAAGGGGGACCGGGATTAGCGACTGAAACTCTTTTTAATGACCTACATGAATATACAACATTCCGTAACGCCGCCTGGCTTACTGTGCGCTCAGAACCAGACAAGGGGGAAAGAACTTGAAAAGAAATTTGACTAGGAGGGATTAGACAAAACAGGTTGTACAAGAAACATTTTAGAAAATGGCAAGACTGATTTTTACGCCTTTCTACTTTTTCCCTTAACGTATCTTGCTCCAAACTGTTTAATCATATTGAACTCTGCTGTATGGGTACCAATACCTGAAGACGTCAGATAGCACTAAATCTCCAAGCAGATCCTATATAGGGTGGCAAAAGACAGTTACTGTATCAAATTGGCCAGGCAGTATCCATTCGCCAGAGAGGGTCCATACATATATACGCCACCTATGGGGCGAATAGATACTGCCTGGCCAATTTACTGTCTTTTGCCACCCTAGGATCTGCTTTGAGATTAAGATGGCACGATGTCATGATACATTAGTGCCATGTGTTTGTTATACGTGCTGATTTGCCACACGTTCTGTTTCTGCAAGGACACTCAACTGTCAGTCATACAGACACTCATTAGTTAAGACAAAGAGTGATTTATGTTCATAGATCTAGATGCAGATAGTTGACATGCTGTACGTGACAATTTGCCGCGCTGTTGTCACGCCACACTGTCCCTCAATCAATAACTCAGTACATCACAGAACTGATTATCTAAACAGTTCTTCGTGTTTGGTTGTTCTTGGACTTTCAAACTTAGTATCTAACAGAGAAAAGACAAAGTCTCT